CTTAATATTAGAAGTAGTACATAAATCTCCTTCTAAAACAGACAGCCTTCAGCTACAGCCTTTTCTACACGATACACTCTTTCTGCATGACGGAGAAAGGGGATGTGGGCCAGAGTAATAACTGTGGCAGAAGAATGATGGCTCAAGTTTGTGAAGCTCTTAAATTTGTAATGCCTATGAATTCCTTCCACCTGTGTTAGAAAGGGAACTGCCATTGATAGCCACAGAATTAAAGCAGACAGAAGGTTGACTCGGGTCCCACTAGCCAAAGGACTAACAGAACTGTGTGATGGGTATTGCTGTGAATTTTCAGCATGGTGTATCAGATTGAGAAATATCCCTAGAAAATTTCACCCAGCTAGAACGTGAGTGCTGGTGAATCCTTCAGAACCATTAGATCTGTGCTGCTCCAGCCTCAGCAAGGCTTTTCTGATAGAGCTGCTAATTATCTCACCCTTTTTCTTCACCAAAGTCCACAGGGATCACACAAAGCTCCAGTTGCCTTAACTTGCTCCTACAATTCTGGACCATGCTCTGTGATACTAAATGACAGCCAGGCAACAGAGTTACTTCTGAATTAAAGGTGGTGTAATTGAGAAAAGATTGTGTATTTAGGGAATTACTTAAGATCATAAGTACTTACAGACTACAGATGTGGTAGCTACTTCCCTCACAGAAACATACCAACATGGCTGTCTTCATGCCCATGTACTTCACCATATAAATCATCACGTAAACCTTTGTGACCATGATCAAAACCCACTACAAACATGACCAGAGCAGGATCTTCACTTCTGCTTTTGGCCAATGATATGATTACTTCATACACTCGTAACAAACCGTGTACCTTACCTTACCATGGCAATCCCAGACAGAAAGCACTACCTTACAGAACAACACTAACCATTGTCAAATCATGCTTCAGGAACAATTTGTTTCCCGGTTTCCAACCACATAGTCATCATTGATCACTATGGAACATTATTTATTGCTTTTCTCTGTTACACATTTGTCACTTATTTTGATGCTCTTCAAAGAAGCAGAAAAGGAACAGAAGAGAAAGTGTGGTGGTTTCTATTGGGCAGTTTAACCAGTTGAGGAAGCATGTGCATTGACACCAGAATTCCTTATGCCTACCTCAATATTCGGTCAATATAGAATGTACAGATACTTTTTATCACTAAGTATCTGCCCAAAGCGTGCACACTGAAATTACCAATTCTCTTCAAAACCTTTGAAAAGTCTTCTGTAAGGAGTGTTTGTGGGCTAGGATGGGAACAGAGTTACACTGGAGTACACTGAAGAGCACTCTTCACATTAAGAGTCCAGTTTATGTTGGTAAAAACAGTGGAAGAAACAGTAAAACAGTAAAACACTGTAATACTGTAGCATTTAAAGACTCGAAGAATGAAGATCCCATTTTAAATAGCATAATCATCTACAGAAATACAGAATTCTGAGTGGACAACAAGCACAAAAAGGAAAACCAATGAGATGAAAGGTCATTTAAGTTGCCTCTAAAATACACTAGCTCCTTGGGGACTGCATAGTGGAGATTTCACCTATGTCTACACAAACAGAATTACTGACATGAGAAAGACTACTTAGAAAGCAGATGGCTTATATTACCGATTTAAAAAATAAATCTGGGAGGATTTAACAGATTTCATTGACATCAGGCTTTGGCTCAATACCTTCTAATAAACTACAAACGTGCCCTACAGTCCACACAGCAATTGTTGTCTGGAGAATTTGCATCAAACACACTAGACAATGCAATAAACTTTCTTTTAGAAGTATAAAAATGCAGCTAATAGATCTGTGACTTCTGGATCACCACAGCCCATGAGTGTTTTACAAGATCAGAATAAATGATTCTCTCACAGCTGGGGACTGTTGTTTGCCACCACTGGGGCATGTACAGGGAAAGAGGCTTTGGGCTCCATCCCACATTCTGCAATCCTATAAAATCACTATAAAATAGGAAGGACATTCATTTTTAAAGATCACAGACTATTTGCTGTATAACCTCCCAAGCCCCAACTTTGTATTCAATTATGGCAAACTAAAAGAAAGAGGAGGAATAAAAGCAATACTTAGTTTTACATTTTAAAATGTATATTGAAGCTAAAAGACACATTGACTGTTTGCATTATGCTGCTCTAAAGGACATTTGAAAGCTGGAGGTAGCTAGGTCTCCTACATAACTTCACGAGCAACATTGAGTTCTTTCTCCTGTTTCATACTGAGTCACCCCAGTGACTCCATGCTAAGGAGAGACTTGCTCTTTGTAAGTATTGGCCATCTCAAGAAAGTCAGCTGGAAATTCAGAAATTGAAATGTAAAACTTTCCCTTCACACAAGAGTAAGAGCTTGCAATTGCTTCTCACCAGGGACTCTTGGGACATTACCCTAAGCAAACCACCGAAGCTTTATGTTAAAACAAAATCCAAATCTTGGCACTGCAATTGTTAGTAATTTTCAGAAGACCACCAAGTGCACAGTGAACTGGCGAATCCTGGTGTGAAACTGTGGCCATAACTTTAAGGAATAGAAGGTCTGAGATTCTGCCAAATGCTACCGCTATCTGTAACTCCTAATACTATGCAAACAAAATGATTGCACTGTAAGAAAATGTGAAGGAAATAAAGTTCATCATCAATGAAGGCGCAAAGATGATGATGAAATCAGATGCATTCTGAAGGTAAAATAGTCAAGATATTACAAGTTATGGAATGCTGCAGGCATGCCTTGCAATGCCACATCTGCATCTCCAAAGCTGATTTCTACCTTAAGAGGCTCTTGAAGGAGAATGAGTTGGATTTAAGGAGCTTTATCTGCTTTTGCTTTGAATTTTTCTGTTTGCTTCAACAATGGACATTTAAGATAAGGCCTAGTGATTCAGTGATATGAACTGACAAGGGGAAGTGGCAAGAAAACAAATTTAGAATCACAGCAAGTATTAAAACAAAGTATGAAAAAAATACTACCTTTGCTTTATTTGTGGTGTATCACATTGACCAGACAACAGCCTTGTTAGGTAACTGCACACCATGTAGAGCACAGCTCTTAAACTCCCATATATTTGGTATATTCAGACAGATAAACAGAAGTGCAGATTGTTGTGTCTCCAGCGTTTTTTAACGATAACATTGTAATTTAACTTTTTAATCTGAATTACCTAATTACAGGGGTGCTGGGGTTTTGTTTGCACATGCGTATGTTCCTTCCTTTGTGGTTATCTTTAAGAGTGTAAAAGCTCCTATAACTGGTAAGCAGACAGATAAAAAGAAACTGGGATCCCTCAGATTAGACAGAAATGTTTTAAACCCTTAAAGAGGTGAAACTGAATGGAATTCATGAATGAATTACTACAGCTCTTTGAGTAATCAATTCCAATTGCTATTAATAATACCACTTTCCCTTCAAAGAATTACTTTCACCTTATAAAGTCAAAGCTTGTAACCTGCTCAATCTTTACTACAGCCTGCAACAATTAGTATTAGGCATAGAGGACCTACAAATTAGAAGCTCTGTGTCATTATCTCTTTTTCCAACAGACTCTTTCAATGATCATAAATAACTCTAAAATTATCATAAAAATTAATAGTACTACAGTTAAAGAAAATTATTATGTAAAGGTTTATGATTTTTGCAGCCATTAATAGACATAAGTTAATGAGCCATAGGCTTTCCAGAATATGATATCAGATATTTTTCCACCAACGAAACTTTCAGAGTTCCAAATCCTTCAGAGGTCACCAACTTCAAAAATAGAAAAGACAGTTACTGTTTAATACTAATGTGAGTAAAAATGAAACAGAAGTATTATAGCAAGTACCATGCATAGCAATTGGAACAGCCCAGTAAAACAAGATAAGGAAATCTACCTTGTCACCCACGTGGAATGGAGGAAGCAAAACCAGAATATTGAAGATGAATAAGATGCATTTTGAACACTCTCTACATATTTTAAATTCACAACTACCTAGAGTCGTAGCTTTAAGCTAGAAGGGAAAGTTAGGATCAGGGCTTATAGACACCAAGTCATAGGGAAATTCATCATACCTCTATGAAACAGGTTCCAGAAAAGGTTGCTGTCAAGAATGTGCATTTTGACAACCACAAATAAAGCTGATTTCCCATTCCATTACTCTTAGGCTGCATGTATAGGATGCTTCAAGCGCTCATCAACAAAAATGTCGAGGAAGCATGACTCCTGCAGTAACCCCAGCCTTTGGCTTTGTCAGTCGTGCTTTAAAGAAACACAAACACCTGAGGTTTTGAAAAGACGAAGAGAACTCCCCACAGCACAGGAAACAAGTATGCATCAGCCATCTTAAGGGAATAAAAGTCTGGGGGTTTTAATCTTTTCCCTCCAGTCTGGAGATGATCATATTTCCTCTTGAACGGAAGTGGCCAATTTTGTGACTTAAACAAACAGGTGCAAACTCCCCAGGATAATTCACTGACGTTATCTGACATGAACTTTTGAGCTGGACCCAGTGGACAGCACATTGCACTGCTTCTCATACTGTGGCCTTAAGAACAAGCATTTATTCACACTTTCTCATGCTATTGCCACTTATTTTCAAAGTAAAATTTAATGAAAGCTTCCTTCCACATGCAGCTTTGCTTTTTGGTGTTGCAACAGCAGAAGACTGAAGGCTCCCACAATCTTATTTATAATCACGGACAAGATAAATATACTGGCTTTAGAGAATATCAGAAATAACAGAATCCTAATTAAAAGTAGCACCCAAAATTGTCAGATATATCACATACTGGACACAACCAAGACACTAAAGATAAATGCCTTGAAAGAAAAAGTTCCAGGAAAATTTTACTGGATTTCTTTACTACTCCTAGAAGTAATCCAACAGTTGACATAGTCTTCATGATCAATACATTCAGTCCTGAAGTTATGCTATAAACCAGCTTCTACAGCTCTTTAGTTAACAAATATGATAATACAGGCAAGGGAAAAAAAAGATCTTTACCTTGTAATGCCTTAGAATTCCTTGAGGTGCTGATCCTTTTGTAGCTTGCATTCTTTGGTTGTCATGCGAGATCTAAAGATCAGAATAAACTTATTGTTACAACTAACAATGATGGTTATTTATATGTTGATGAGAACTTGTTATTAGTTCATAAGACAGATCAAGACTCTTCCTCTTGTAACACATTCTGTACTGGTCACTTTAATGGGATCTACTCAGCCACTTTCAAAACAATATAAAAGCTTCAGATCCTCTAAACTGATTTTCAAAAGCATTGAGAATCCTGAAGTCACATTGTCTTCTTTGCCAAAATAAGGCAAATATTACTGATTGCTGCAGCAATTTAAAAAGATTAAGTTTATCTGTGAGATAAAAAAGCTATAATTTGAAAATTATAAACAAGGAAGTGTTTAACTAAGTGCCAGTCATGTAATACTGTAGACTACAAAGCCACTGATACTAAATAGTGGACATCTTATGTACATTTTGTAGCATACATGTTAATATTTTAGGGTATGAAACTCCTTGCACATAAGAAAGTTTAAAGCATGTTGATAAAAAAATATAATTTGAATAGTCATCCTTGTATTAAGTAAAAATAAACCCTTCTCATTAGTGAATGAACAATGAAAACGAGAAAGGTTAGCTCTTCTACCCAGTAATCCCTTATTTCCTACTTGAAAATCATTAAGACATACATAACTTAAAGCACACAACAACATGATTATTAGGAAGGTATTTAATTGTGTGCTTATGTCCTATCAAAAAGAGCTTGATAAGTGACACTACATTGTAGGATGCTGGATTTAAAGGAGATTAAGTGCTTAACTTATTTTAGCAGCATTTCAACATCAGCACTGAAAAACGCTTGGCAATTAAAAGATCTTGAGAAAGCCTCAAGACTATTCTATAACACACAATATAATATAGCAATGGCATGTAGGAAAAAAAAAAAAAAATCAATTTGAGATCCACTCCTGAAGGCAGATGATAAGAATCATCCACAAGGAAACAGATAACAGCTGATATGACCTCCTTACCTTGTCAGAATTACAATTACAAAAAATCAGATACTGCAACTTAATCATAGTTACACGTTCCAATTTCACATGTACATTTTAATGGTAAAACACTAAAGATAAAAATGGCTTCACCACTTTAAAAGGGAAAAAAGAACCAAGCCCAACCCCCCGCCCCAAAACCCCACATGTCCCAAGAGTCAAGTTAAAGATTCAGAAGTCAGGGCTAGGAGGGAAGAGGAAGATAAATAATTTAGCACTCAGCACAACTAAAGGCTGTCACTCTGCCAACTCTAAGAGAAATGAAAAGGTTTACACGGATCCTGAGAGTTTTTACAAAACCTCCAGGGAGTTGAAAAAATAAATCCAGAACAAGAGTTCTGAAGTATGCCACATAAATAGCTTCTAAAGACACTGATCACTGTGAGAATAACGGCAGAGAAAGATTCCTTTAGTTCAAAATCAGACTGTTCTCTGGCATTATGTTTGCTCTCCTGTATCATCACCAGCTGCATCAGCAGGAGGGCTGCCTGTCTTTTTACAGAGGCATCACCTTCTCAGAAGCCAGGGAAGATGTTTACGGGAGACCCAAGACATATTGGTATCATTTTAAATGCTATGGCTAAGCCTGTGCTTGGCATTAAATTTACAGGCACTGCACACATTTTCATGCGTAAAGACCAATTCTGATCGCTTGGAGTTGAGTAATTTCTGTGCTTTGTGGTGTCAATATTCATGGCTGATCATAAGACAATTAAGCAAATAAAAATCCCTGTAAGCCTTGGCCACTCTTTGCAGGAGGGAGGAGTGCAGGCAGGAAGAAAGGGGAAGCTTCACATTATTTCCTTTTACCTTAAAATTAATTTTTTGCTCTTATTGTTTGAATTGCAATAAGAATCTGTAACAGGGCCTTTCAATCCCATAAAAGCAAGAGTTAAACTGCAATACCTGCAACTATAAAAAAATTAATTCCATATCATCATCACGTTTTACTTCAAACTAAGATGTAACCTTGTACTTCATTGCTCAGACAATGTTAACTGTAGGAGAATCACAGAAAGGAACTAAGTTCATTTAAGACATAAAGCAATTTTGAATTGAATTGATTACAGTGATCAGTCTATCACTTTAATGCCATCTCTGCTGGCATTTATTAAAAAGACATACATGTGACAACCCATTGATCCTTAACACTGCAGCTGAGATAAAAAGTCTATTTGCAAAGGAAAATTACTTCTTTAATTAGAAATGGAGTATCATTCTCCCTTTCCTTTGTTAGAACTTCAGCAGCCACAGATCAAATACATCATGGGAGGGGCTGCAGAATCTGCCATCTAGTTTCATTTAAAAGTCTTCACAGTTAATCATTCAAAGTTGTACGAATAAGCACTTGAGGTGGGGAAGGAAACGGGTCTATCCCCCATACGAAGGCACTCCAACGTGCTGCTGCTTAGGAGAGGCTTCAGAAGGGAGAGCTTCTTATTACTAATTAGAAAGGATTCGGTCTTAGGCAGAAGCTCTTCCCTGTGAAGGTGCTGAGGCGCTGGCAGAGGGTGCCCAGAGAAGCTGTGGCTGCCCCATCCCTAGCAGTGTTCAAGTCCAGGTTGGACACAGGGGCTTGGAGCAAGCTGCTCTAGTGGAAGGGGTCCCTGCTCATGGTCCCTTCCAACCCAAACCAGGCTGGGATTCTATGATTCTTGGTGGATGCTGCCATAAGACTGATGTTCAGGGGACAGGGTCACTACTGCTTGTTTTATCTTACACTGTACTTGAAAAGCATGGCATTCAACAGATATGGGCTTAATTTCCTTAAATTTTCAGGGTGAAAATCACAAACTATGCAGGTAAATCTACACATTCCTGTGTCTTTTTATAGCATGTGGAACTAATTCTGGATAATTAACTCTTACTCTATTTTCCCCATCAGTTAAAATATGAACAATTCAATGCAGTGCTGATTTCTTAGCTGAATACAAAGTCTATTTAACAACTGTCCAGACTGAATGATTCATTACAACAAAGGAATCAGGATCTTGAATTATTTAGATTCTTTTGTGCAGTATATAACCCTTAGGATTTACTTAAATTGCTGCCTACAAATGAACTACCAGTAACTCATCATCTAGCCATGAAAATAACTCAATTGAACTGTGGGTAGATATTTAATTGCCTTCACAATGTTTGTGCAGTATTTGTCTATAAAGCTTTAGATAATATTGCCTTTATTCATCTGAGTAAACTATCAATTCCCTTACAACAATAGACAAAACCCTGCATTCCTGTTTTAACTTTCCCCAGGGTACAAATTAAAACTTTCAGGTGGCACATCTTTACTTTATTTGACTATAAACTCTCTTTATGGCAATGCAAGTTGTCACAGATGATGGCTACTGGAATACTTAAGTGTTTATCTCCAGCCATTACACAGGGAACTGGAGCTGTGCACAAATTCCCTCTACAAACTCTGAAAACTGAACTCTCAGACATCCAGAAATGTACAATTCATTGGCTGTGATGATTCTTCACAGCAAAGAATGTTCATCTTTAACCAGACTCTACTGGTGTAACACTCAGCTGTTACCAAGCAGTAAAAGCAATTTCAGTGTGACTATGGCTATTTCACACGTGATACAAATACTGCCCAAGTTTCGTAGTTCTGTTTGAAATAGCTCCGGATAACAAATGTAAAATAACAATTTAACTGTTGCAGGGTGAGGAAAGGAATGAGCACATGTGGAATTAAGGGTTTAATCTCTAAAACTGGGCTGGAAGATCTGAGTTGGGATACTAGAATCCTGATTCTTTAGCTGAAACAGAGAATCTGGGCTCCCCAGCTTAGGCTGAGGTTAAGGAGAAGTCCTAGTCCTGGTATGTGTTAATGCTTAAGTGGTACTGTGACACAGAGCTATGCATTCACAAACAAAAAAAAAAAAGCCTGAATTAGCAGCTTCCATGTAAAGATATCACTTTATGTCTAGAATGTGATGAAATGATGCCCAAATACTTCACAAGTATGAAAAAGTTTCTATTTGGGATAGTGGAATGATTTGAGTGATTTTTATATTACCACTTTACAAATGTAAATGTAGAGGAGCCTGGGACCACACAATATAACAACAGAAACCAGGAGTCTCAGATTGCAGAACTGCTGCTCTAAATACAGGATACACTTGCTGTACTGAAGGAATGACTTACATGAAAAAAATAATGGCTAGAATATCATATCTGCTCCAACTCCAGAACCTAGTGTAGGATGATGCTAATATCAGCTAATAATATCAGGATCAAAGATGAGTGGAATAAAACTTCCAATTTTAGCTGCTCTTTATCTGCAGGTGTGAATGTATAATGAATTCTCGCCACTGGCTCCCTATTATAAATCCAATGATTTTGTACTCTACAACAGCAATTTCTACAATTTTCTTTTGGCACAACCTGCTTGGAATACATGACAAAACAGCAGGGTGCCAAAACGGTTTTCTAAATGATCTACTTTGCAAGACAGCTTCCAAGTGCGACCCTGATGAATCTTATTACTCTCAGAACAGAACAAACACGAAAGAAAGAGCCCCCATATCATTTACTTACGTATTTCTTTGGGTTTTTTACATGCTACTTTACATCCATGCCAAAGTATTCATTCCAACACAGAAAGCATTTTAAACCCAGGTTAAATAAAAAACCATTAGTGGGTAGGATAGAATTGCACTATGCCTATTTTTGAATCGTGCTGTCTCAGGCAAGTGTAATGAATCATTTGATGTCATCTCAATTACCATGTTGCTCTAATCAAGGGAATTGCTCTTCCCATCCACTCCTTGTATGGAACTCTCTAAATTAGATGGCAGAGTTTTTCCCATGGACAAACCCATCCTCTGGCAAACTACAAGGGTCAGGATTTAGCAAGTTTAAGCTACAGAACAAGGCTGGGTGACTCTATACTTCAACTGATTATCAGATCATTTTAATGGTACAGAGGGGTATTTCACTGCAATTTATAGTGATGGTTGAGTGTTTAATCAGGAAAAAGTATTTATGGGCAAAAACTACACC